ACGAAACCAACAATCCAACACAAAATTGTGAAAAAAAAAAAAAAAAACCTAACTAAAGCCTGCAACTTTCTGTGTACTTAAATTATTTATTGAAGAACAAAGCATTAGATGTGGCCATAAAGTGCTCAAAGAAGATTGTGCTTCATTTAGCATCTGGAATTTCTATTATAGCAATTTAGAGATTATACTTCCAAGTATAGCCTATGTCAACAGACTAAGGTAGTCACCTCCTTTCTTCTCTTCCCAGAACCCCTCCCCACAATTTTCCCAATGCATCATATGCACAGCCATGTATGCACTTGCATAAAGCTGCAATCTGCATGGTGCATGGTTTACTAAAATGTCTTGCCAGGATAGCGATTATGGCTAACATAAGCAGCTTGGATATACATAGAGTAATAATGTTATTCAATTTAGACAAAACCTTGATAACTTCTCATTATCTGCTATTGGGTTTTGTATGCAAGCAATGCAACTTGTACCATTCAGAAGACCCAAATATTTCTAGTAATTGCCATTGTTGACATGGCTCCTGGCCCAGAATAATATTTTTTGGATAGGAAATCATATAGTACATAAAGGAAGCCTAGTGCATATATAAATATGCATAACTGAGACAAGGAAATTTATTGAATGAACGCGAAGCATGAAGCCTAGTGCATATAGGGAATGAAAGCAGACATTTCAAACCATTGCAATCTGCAAAAATCTACCACCAAAATAAGTATTCTAATAAATATTTCTGTAAGGTCTACAGGGGCATGAAAGTCAAAACAGAGATTTCAGACAGGAAATAAACAAATAGAGGAAGGAACAGATTCCGATCATATTCATGACCAAAGACTCAAAAGCAACCCCTAGTGCAGTTGCTGAAATTGAAGCAGGATACTCACCTGTGGCAAGGAGAAACTCAAGGGGATGGAAGTCTATGGAACGGATATGTCCTTCATGGAACTTAAAATCATGCAATAGCTTTCCAGCAGTTAGATCCCACACCTATCCAGTAACGACAATGCTATATCAATTGAAGAGAAAGAAACAAGGACTCTTCATTGCTAGTTTGCTACTGATGGTGCACTCTCTTGTTACCTTTACAACATTATCAAATCCACCAGAAACTACCCAGCGGCCATCAGGAGTGAACCTGATCGTGCTAATGCCTCGAGTGTGACCCTTGTACGTGTGAGTGCATCCTTTTTTTCTGATATCCCATATCTTTAAATTTGTGTCCATAGACCCAGATGCAAAGAATTCACCAAAAGGATGAAATTCCACAGCAGTGCAATTGGATCTGTGTCCGGTAAGACCACGAACCACTACACTTCAAGAACAATAACCAATGTTCGCAAGTTAATGAGAAAATTGATCACACAACTTTACAATCGAAAAAAGACAGTG